ATGATCCATATTCTGTATACCAATGCTTTAACATGGTAAATTTTTGTGCAGTTAATTTAATTTTCAGTAATTTTCTGCATAATTTTCAATACATATTGCATGAATTGTTATTGTTCCACCCTTTGGTCAAGCTATAGAATCTCTTCAATTAATACAATGAGAGTGTGTTACAACAATTGTTTAGAAAACTATTACGACAACCTAGGTATTGTAGTCCAAGCGCACTTTTTGTAAGAATTTATGAGGAAGTCCATATAATTATTCACAAAGGAGTTTGAGAAGTCAAAAAGCCTTTATTGTAATTAATGAATATTTTGTTAAAGATTCCTGTTTAAATTCAGAAATTGGAGAGAGCGTATGTATGTTCCATAGCTCGAGAACAACTATCGCATTTTTCTCCCTTTCTTTTTCATTTTCTAGAGTTATATTATGAATGTATACGCCTTATATATTAATTTGAATTCCGAAATAAAAAGAAAAATAAAATAACTATGCTACTTCCATGATTTATACATCTGTGTAATAGAGGTTTTCATGTATGAAGCGTGCATCTAGCTATGACTACACTATTTGCATTGTTTTGCTTTAAAACAGTTATCAACTATATGAACATTGTTTCATCTAAAATGTGTGCTAATTTGTAGTATTCATGGCATAGGCCTACTGAATTTATGTATGGATTAAGTGCATGGGATTTTATTTAATACACTACTGTATGCATAGATACTATTTGTCATCATGTATGCAAATTATGTTGTACATGAATGCTATATTCATATGATATACTATAGTGTATACATGGGTAGATACATTGACACTAATGCATGTACCAGTACTGGGTATTCCATTTCTGTAGCACATGCTATGTAATGCATGGATAATATTTAATGGCATTAATTCATATTATACAAACATACACTACTCTGGGAATAAAAAGGTTTATAATGACAAATGAATACTGTTTCAAACACATGGAGATCATTAACCAGGGCGGAGTAATTACTTCCCTCACAACATTTTTCTAATGATATATTTTCATTTATATTGAAAAAGATGAAGAATTTAGAAAATTGCAATTTTTTTTTCACCAATCCTAAACGTTTCATCTACAGTTCGTAATGTTAGAAAAAAGAAAGCGAATCATATTTGAATAGGAACAATTAGATCTATAGAATTTGCTAGCCTCTACAAATCATCCCTAATGCAGGTGTTGTAAAAATTAGAAGACATTGATGTGCCTAAGGTGAGCCCTAGGGATGGCAAACAAACAGGTGCATTCAATGAAGAGGAGAATCTTAAAATTAGGATGGTTACCAAGAGACATGATCAGTGTGTCTGTACTCCTGATGACATCATTCACTCTTACTTCAACAAGGTAGACAGAACTGGAATTGCGTTTTGTTGAGCAAATTAAAGATGATAAATTCTACAGTTTCTGATTCCAAAATATTAAAATGTGTCTTTAAATTGGGAAAATATAATATATTTTAGTAATGTACAGTAATTTATTTACAGTATTCAGATTTGCTAACATTTAAATGCAAAATACAATATAAAGTATTAAGTAATATATAACAAATTTGCCAGTATTAATTAGTTGTAGGACCTATAATAATAATAATAATAATAATAATAATTTAAAAAAACATTTTGCTTCAGTTTTGCAATATACTTTTGCTATTTATGTGTTGAAATGTGAGTACAGAACCAAATCTTTTAATTTTCTCTCCAGAAATGGTTTCTTTTTCACCAGATATTTTGTTAGTAGTTTGACCCAGTATGATATTACATATCCACCCTAGTAGTCATATTACATTTACTTGTGACCTGTAGGGGTCAGTTAGCTCACTTTGCCACTTTAGAACTTCCCATGTACTGTAGGCTAAAAGTTAGCTTTTGTTGGTAAATCTGGTATAATTTTGAGTGGTTTTGTAGCTTTTTTGTGTGGGTAATATGATGGGATTGGAATTCAATTGCAGGGTGTATGCAATACCTGAAAGCTTCTTTTGAAAAAAAATAATTGGGATATTATTGCAATATCTGTAATTTTTAACAGGATTGTTATATTGTACCAGTTATATTGTTAGTACATAATGTATTTTTGTATTTTAAAGCTAAAAGTAGGTCTCCAAATTGTGAATAAGGGTAAATAACTGTTGCAATAAGACTTTCCAACCCCTCAAACTCCCCTTCCCAGTCTCAGTGTTTATCAATATACATTGTTATGAGATAATTAATTTTTATGTCTTTGACCACTGTTGTAACTAAAATACTTTCCTTAAAATCATATTACACTATATATCATATATTTCAACCATATGCTATTATACAAAACATACATGAAACTTCAGCCGCTAATACCTACTTTTTGTTTCGCATTGCTGATTCATTAATTCGAAAGTTTTTTTTGCTGAACTTATACTATGGGTGGTCTTCCAAATTCTAATATGAATGTGTACTCATGAAATACAACTGACTTAGTGTATGGCATGCCACTAAATCAAAATGGAGACTGGAAGTTCGGAGGTTAGACAACCAATATTTCTTATCCAATTCTATATATATAAATTACATATTTATAGCCAGCTTACTTGACATAGGTATAGATATTTTGTGGGTCACCTTGAATTATCATCTATATCACTGTGGAGACTGGAAGTTGAAAGGTTAGACTAGTAATATATCTTATATCTTGATTCTATTTATAAAAATTACAAAATTTAAATAGCCCACTTCCCTGGCATAGTTACAGACATTTTGTGTTATTGCTGAATTACCAGAACTACATATTCCTCTGATTCTCTTTGAATAAAACAAAACAATATTTATGTTTTTATTTATTTTTCATAACATCAGTTTCTTTTTTGAAAACAGTCTTTGTATTTCCATGTATTCGCTTGAGATGCCAGGTAAAAACTCAAAAATTGAGTTGAAATCACATACACCATATTTATTTACACTTTTTACTAAATAGTATTACTTTAAAAAATATTGTTATAAAATAAGTTATAATTACAGATACAGTTCAATTGATCAGTGGTCAATAAAATAGTATATATAATACTGATTTTTATTTTAAAATCCTGCTTTTTTATAGACTGATTTTGCTCTCTCATTTCCTATCCATATGTGTAATCTAATTTTATAATTTTACAAACATTTTAATTTAAAAAAATTTATATTAATAATAATTATATTTAATAATATAATATACAATCGTAACACAAATTTGAAATGCTAATAAACAATGAACATTTACAGGAAGTAGGAAGATGTCAAATGACTTGAGTCATAGAGCATGGAGTCAGTGAAGGATTGTGCCTCATGACTGGAGTAACATCCATCATGTCACGGAATGTCCGTGCACACCTGTGTTACTCAGAATTTATTCATTTGAAATCATAGATCTCATCTGTATTTATATCCTCCTAGAGACCATATACATTCAAATTCAAGAATGTCATTTAATGAATTATGAAAAAATATATCAGTTAGGCCAATTGTAAAGCCTGATTGTGAAAGATATAAAGATACTCTGCGAGAGGTTATTCTTAGTAAGACAAAAAAATTCAGACAGCATCGTAAAAAATACCAACATGGTGTTTTTTTGTTTCATTTCAAAATAATGAAAGTTAACCTTAAAATTGACTTTACAACAGAACACAGATGCATATAAAGTTTGAAAATTAAAAAAAAATTAATAATTATAATAATGTCGGAGATATTTTTTTCCCCAATACTACAATAATGTATTGAGTTTTATTACTGTATGAATAAATATAAATGCCCTTTTGAAGAAAGGTTGGAATAGGCAATTAGATAAACTCTGTATTGAGATTTAATTGGGTACTGTAATATAGGCATTTATTTGTATTTTGAAGAATGATATGAAGAATGAAGCAGTGGGTAAACTCTACAAAAACTGATTTGTACAGTCTCCTGTAGAGAATAAATTCTATATTGTTAGTCTCAAAAGTGCTGCTGTTATTTACTTTATATTGTTCTACAAAAACAAAAAGAATGGTTTAAAAAATAAACCGAAAGGTCCACTGATTAATCTCAGATAAGAAAGTATAATACATATGCCAAGTATTGAAATGCACGCCATCGTATTGGGATTCCCAACACAATGGCGTGCATTTCAATACTTGGAGTATGTATTATATTTCCTTGTGTGGTTTTAAAATGTAGCTGTTTATCTGCATTGGGTCATTTTGGTATTGTTTGGCCGTTCCAAGGCAAAACAATTGGATACGACTGTCTGTGTGTACTGTATTTGTGCGGATATGTGTGTAAATGTACCTGTATTGTATGAGATGTTTTTTGTATCTGTGTCAAGATCATATAAAGTAGAACATAATTGTTTATGTGTCTATCTGGTGTCTGTAGGGTATGTCTATGTATTTAAATGGATATATGTCGGCCTACATACTCATATTGAAAATATTGTGTTGAGGAAAAGATCGTGTTATCTGTATGCTGTATCTTTGTCTTCAGTACTCTTCTGTGGGTGTGTCCAGTTTTTGCTTATATTTTGCATTATTTAATGTACCTATAAAGCCTTTCAATATTCTATTGTATTTTAATTCTATTGTAAATTATGTTGGGAACAATCTGTAGTAAATTTTTAATGACGTGATTAAAAGGAGTCGCTGTTAATTAGGCTGGTGACATAGTGTGAAATTAGAGCCCTGATTCAGCGACATCTCAGCCACAAAGGTTAACACCATAAATTTCCCCTCTATAACAGCCAAATGCTTTATATGCACCTGACCAGAAGGAGGAAGTATAGAAGGTGGAAGCTAGCTCAGTTTTGCTTTATGCAGTGTTTGTGTATTTATTCACCTGCATTGGTAATTTGAAATTTTGTACAGCCAAGCTCAACATCACTGTCAGGCTCTGTTGAGTTTTTCCCAACCTGACAGATCTAGTTACTGTTAGTAATTGACATTGAAATTTCTTGTTCAACTTAACATGACAAATATTCTGTCTTTTCACAGGAAGTGCGATTAACTCTTTTACCAGATAGTGAAATCTAACGAACAGTGATACAACAAAAAAGCACCACAGAGTTATCTTGGTTTTTTTTTAACAATAATTCCCAGTGGGAAGCACTGGAATTTAAAAGATGGAATGATTTGGACTTCAGTAGCAAGCATGTTCTTCAGTAGAGAGGTTTCCTTTACTCTTCAATGGAAGATTTTTGATATCACAGATCCTGCTTCATAAACATTGACAGACTACAGACTGCAAAAGTCCTTGGATTTTTTCCTGATATACTGTAGTTGTGGGGCCACCATTGGCACTTGAAAAATTGTTTTTGTTCGCCAGAGATGAAACTGTTAAAGCCTACTATGGCGGTGAACTTTCTACAGGCATTTGTATTATTAACATTCTGTTATAATGTAGAGATTCATGCTGCAATCAATATCAGTAAGTATATTGAATTTTATATATATATATTTATTTTAAGAATGATAATTATATAATAAACATTGTAGTTTGAGATAGGTATATCTCTTTATAAACCATGTTTTAAAACTTAAATCCTGAAATCCTTAGGTCTTATACCTTTACTATAAGGACCTGAGTCTGTGGGGATTCTTTCTCTCTTTCCGGTCAATTTCTCTACAGCCCTGAGGTTTTTTGGATGTCTTCCCTCAGTCTACAAATTTGTCATTCGTCTCATTTCTTCTGTAGGCAGCCATGAGCCTTCTTTATGCTACTACTATGAGTTTTAAATGTTTCCCTAATATTATGGTAAAAGGTTTAACACAGCATATCACGTTTACAAGCAAGTCAGTTGTGAACTGTTGGCCTGCAGGTAAAATAGATACAGGTCATTTAGTGTGAGAAACAAAGGGAATTGGCCAGTAATTTTCAATTAAAACCTTCTATCATAGATTCAGACAGACGAATTAAAAGCTTGTGAATTGAAAAGAATTCAATTACCGCAGGTTAAAATCTAGCTAGTAATGTTTGCGAATGTTGCGTGATGCAGATGAAAGTAGTCCAGTGGGAGTATATACTAGATCCATGTTACCGTTGAGCCCTTATCTCCTCTGATTCTTATCACTAATTAAATATTAAGCTTTGATCATTTCGGCCGCTGTGTATGTAGCTTGACTGTTTTACAGATAAGTAAAATGGGACCTAACAGACAAAGGTACTGCAGTGCAATCACATTCTGCCGTAACTGTCAAATATCTGTCGGAAGTTTACCCTCACCTGTCATCGATGACTGTAATTGCCAGAGCATTTTAGCACCATTATGCTAACATTAATGTCATTAACTCTCCGATATTCTGTGTATATCAGAGTTAGCAAGCAATTAAGCAGATGTAAGGCTTTCAGCGCTTAGGTGGCGTTCTCTAACGGCCAGCGGTAACAAAGACCACGAAGAGTTATGAATCACCTATAATGCGTTTTGATGAGACGGCGCCGTGGCAATTGAAAACTAGCCATGACTTTATGGCTTAATTTACAGACATGGAGAAAGGAATGACCAAAGGGCAAGGGTAATTCTAGGTGGTAATGACCGCATCACCAATAAAAGGAAGAATATTCTATGGCTTGATTATATTGGATTAAACTGCTTTAATGCAAATATGTGTCTATTTGATGCTTAGTAGAGACTGTTATTGAGATGATGTAAGTGTAAGTTTATTGACCATGAGTGATGGTTATTCTGGTTGACAATGTACAGTAATCAAAAGCAGCATTAACTATAAAAGTTGATGTACAAGCAATGGTGATATTAGTGACAGTTAATTGAGATGTTATTGTGAAGATGGTCGAAAGTGATAATTTATCAACTGCGATTGTAGGCGACAACACCTAATGATACTAAACTTAGATTGTAGGCTAATGAAATTAGGACAATTTTCCAAAGTGTCAATGTACAATTGATAGTGAGAAAGGACAGATAATGAGTTGAGTTGAGATAATTATAACAATGAACGCTTATATTGAGCTAAGCTACTGTAATGACTTCATAATAATAATATTTGAATTTTTTATATATTTAATCAGATTTCAGCTTAAAATTAAGACAGGAAAAGAAAATATATTTCCACAGACTTTTTGCAACAGAAATCCTTAAATATAGGCCTACAGTAATCTCTCATAAAATATGAAAACCTTAAAAATTGAATTAAATAAAACATTGAATAGCTCGCTATGGTTAAATACCTTATTTCAAATTATTCTTAGATTGGAACAATTAAGTTTTCACTGAGTTAAAAATATTTTTTTTAATTCTTCAAATATCACCAGCCATTTTAAATCTAAATAATTATATAGATCTATATTATGTTATGTCTATTATTGGGAGGAAAAACTTTTCTCAATCTCGTTTTTAATTTATCGCTTATATTACACCACCTAAAAATGGAATATTTCTCAAGTTTATATTGAATAAAATCATCAAACATTTATTTCATCATGTCCATACACATAAACAGATATGAGGACCAGTCAGTCGATTTAATATTAAATTTTATTTCTCAAGTTTTGTGAAGGATTTATAAGAATACAGACAGCTAGTTGAAAATCTAAGTGGACCCAAAGATACTAGAAACACAAGATAGAGTTCTCCACAGAAAAAACTATTCCAAAGAAATGCATGGTGGGAATACAAACAATGGGGCGCCGCGTATGGCTGTGGCTAAAAAACTCTGCCACCGTTACACAACTGTGAAAACATAACCTCCTTTTGCGGAGGTTGAAATCGTTGCCATTATTCATAAGATACAAACAAGTAGGCATAAATAAATCAAAACAATAAAATGACAGAAAATATAAGCGCACAGTTGTATGACTGGACTCTGATTAGTGATAAAGTTTTCCTCCATTAGTGGAAAAAGAAGGGCGCTGTGTGCGTCTGGATATACTTAGCAACAGAAGGGCGCCCTATACGTCTGGACCAATTATAGAAAACTTGCATTATAAAAAGAGAAGGGCGCCTCGTACGTCTGGACCAATTTCCGCCTCATTTTTGCTATGCGAGTGCTCTATCTTGTATTTCTAGTATCTTTGGTGAACCTGGGTAATCGTGATTACAAATCACAATGGCAATCAACAGCACAATCAATCAAATAGTACAGTAAATGTCCAGGAAGTCTTGTCACAGGGGTCTCAGGTCTACCGGAAGTTGCAAGAGTCTCCCAGAAATCGTGACAGACTCCCGCATGCAAGCAAGAATCGCCCAGAAAATAACCCATCTCCCACAAATCCATAATGTAATAATTTGCATGTTTTTACTTCTTTATTATCAATTGTCTCACGTAAGTCAATGCCGATGGGTATCATCATGCATAGCAAAATAAAGTTAAAATGTTACGAAAGCTCATTAATCAGATCTCCCAGCCGGAAAAGATTTTTTTGTAACTTGGGAGCCTTGTCATCATATGATTGATAGTGATACAAAAGAGACATGTGATGGCAAATGCTGAAAGAGAAAGTAATGTAGATGATAAAATAAAGATAATATTTTTCATAAATTTTCACAAGGACAGTTAGCTTATTACAATTATTTCATGTACTCACTGTAGCTTACTGTAGCAAAGAAGACTAGGGCTCAAACACTTGAAATAGTAACTAAAACTATAGGATGAGAAAGTGGTAGACCAAAAAACAAAGGTAACATTGTGAAATTAAAGATTTTTCGATTTCGGTTAGATTTTTTATTTTTTGCATTAGGAATGAAAAAAAACATACATTATATTTTATTTTTTAGGTTTATTATCATTACAATCTCAGCTGTCAGTATACAAGACTAATGAATTGTTTTTTGTAAATAAATTTGTCATGCCAGTGGAAGTCAAAATGAGTAAAATAAATAAATTCTAAAATTGTTTTCAAACTAAAAACATCTACATTAATCTGTCTTAAAGATCTGCAGGTCTACAGTACTCAGGAAAAAACAAGAAATTTTATAATAGAGATGAGTTGAAAGGTACAGAGAGCTGAACAATGAATCTTAACCATGAAAACATTCTCCAAGCACACGAGCACAGATAAACAAAACTGACTCCCTTCCCCCTACATCCGCTGTTCAATATTGCAGATATTTTAAAAATACCTGGAAGCTACAGTATGACATAAAAACATCCTTTGATGAATGACTTCAAGAACCACATAATGATTGCATAGACGATACGGAATTAGTTAGCCGGAGGGTGAGAAACAGCCCTTTGTTCGGCGTCTACAATCATTATTATTACTCACGTTTGTGTCGCAATTGGAAAATTGAAATAAGACGTAGATTAATCCCACTTGATAAGCTCAGTCCCAACTTGTTAATGGCGACTGGAATGAAGGAATTCTTAGACTGTAGATTATCCATTACCACGGTATTAACGAGAATGATGCTACGAGACGGGCCTTTTAAAACCAATTTGATATTGCATTGAATCCTACATATTGCAAATTGTTTCAAACAAAATTATTTTAATAATTTCAAATCATGAAGAAGCTTATTAAATAGGTATACTTATCTTTTTTGTAATATATAAAACTCATTTCATTCTCGTCAAATATAGTAGCAAGTGAATCTCTACTTTAAGGAGTACTTTGTGATGTTCGAGAAGTAAAACCTGCCATATTCTGCGTTCGTTGATGATAGGCGATAAATCCATCTGTCTGCTCAATACCAGCGGCAGGCAGCGGATTTGTTGCACATGCCTCCCTTGTTTCACCAACCTTTAGTCTCGTAAGGCTTAGAGAGTGCTGTGGTTTTTGAATGTGCAGGAGACCATGGGCATACTACAATTCTTTATCAAACAATCCAATTATCAACACAATATTTATTTTTCCTTTTAAAAAAGGACAAAATATTCACCTTTCCTTACCATACTTCACAATATGCATACAACAAATATTATTTAAGATAATTTGATATTTATTTCAATCGTGATTCATGTAAATAAATTTTTATTCATTTGAGTTATTTCACTCCATACATAGTTATGATAGTGATGGTGGTAAATGGTATGGTTTTTTTAAATATAATAAATATAACAATATCAAATTTGTTCCAGTATACAAACATTTTTAGGCATGATAGGCTACATTTATCATTAATGTGCTTGTATAGCACTTTCCCTTGCAGTTACAAAGTGCATTTAGCCACTCTCCACAATAAAGCTCTTGCACTAGACACGATAACGACACGGCAACGACACATCATCGCGTCGTTTATATTCTTCAACACTGAGTGAATTTCATTGTGTCGTCGTCGTGTCGTAAATGTAGCTTAAGTTGGAAAATCACCAGAGCAGATCTTGCATTCAAACCAAACCCAAAGTGTGCAAACTTAAATAGAGAAATACAGTATTGTTTATAACACTTTAGATTACAGCACTTTACTAATGATAAATTATGAAATTATGAAGAGTGGAATGGTATTAAATGCAAGTGATATTAATTAGAGTGTAACCATTTGTAAAAAAAAATCATTGACCAGAAACATTTTATATATTAAAATACATAATTATTGCTAATTGAAATTTTGTTTTAAAAGCCAGGATTTGAAAGAAAAAATTGACATACAAATGAATATTCTAAAATATCGTAGGGATCTTTGAAAAATGGGATTGATTTTGGAATAATAAAATACTGGGGAAATATCCATTTTCTCACCAGTATCTTAATATTCTTTCAGAAAAGAAAAGATCGCTGAAAAGTTGATGTTTGAGTGGCCCTGAAAATTACAGTACCGGTACATGTTGTCAGTTTAAAAGATGATCGTTAATTTTATTGATCCAATTTTGACTTCAAGTGTGGGTGCCTTGTGCCTACTGTAATGTGTTGTATGATTTTATGGTGTCGACAAGTGACAAGTTTGAAATACTTCAATACAATTGATACTTATCATTTTATTGTTCTCAGGTGCTATATCCATCTATTCTACTTGGTGTATGTTGTCCATAGGAACTGGTAATTAGAATGGTATTTGATAACTTGACAAACTCTTCCGCTAAAAGGCACCAAGGGATTTTTAGATGGATTTAGTGAATTTACTATAGTAGTATGTGTCAGGAAATGTGGAAAGTTACAAACTGCCGCTTATTTCTGTTGAATCAAGAAATGATAAACATCCAACATTTTAGACACCATATTTATTCTGTATAAACACCAAGGATGAACCATGTCCACGTCCAAGTCAGAAGAAGACTTAATTGGGGTCCTTCTGTTGGTGATTGGGCAGTACACTGGGAGAAAATCCCCAAAGAGTGTATTGCATTTTTTAACATACACATGGGCCATATTGCACATGGGACTAACGTCTTAAAGGTCTCATCCAAAAAACAATGCAGCGATTGAAACTTGCATTTCAGCCCTCTAGCTAAAACACAAGGAGAGCGCCCTCTAGCTGAAACACAAGAAGAGCAGCGATGAAAATTGAGTTCAGTACACACAGTGGGTACAACCAGTTCAGCCGACTGAGCTATTAGTTGCTCTCTCTATCCTCCTTCATCCTTTTTTCGGCTACCTCTTTTTTATACACAAGATAAAACACTAGGAAAAGTGATATGGATCCATGTACAGTAGTCCCTAGTATTCAAGGCTAGTAGCAGCCTACAGTACATGTGAGTGGTGGCCCAAGTCTGCAAAGAACAAATATATAGAAAAACAGAAACCTTCAAAATACTGGAGTAGAGAACTTCTTAATTTGTGTTATTGAAATATATACTGACCACCAAAAAATATCTTTAAAACCTTATAAATTAAAATAAAATTATGAATTATTCATTCAGAAGAAGTACATATCGAGTTTCAGTAGGTCAAGGTTAGAAAAGAAACTATTAAATGATTTACTGACATTTATTACAAAAATCATTAAATTTGCTGGCAGAAATTTAGAGGTATTATGCAAAGATTGGAATGGTATTAATCAAATGCCCCTTAATTGGCGAGGAGCATTTTTCTTGTCCAAATTTTCAGTTGAAACTAGTAACTTAGCAAATCATTTATAAAAAATGTCTAGTTTATGTTAGATTTAGGTGGTAGTACATGCTTAAATTATACTGATTTAACTCGTAAATAACTGCATACTGTATAGTATAGTGTGTCTTCTATTAAGTGTTATACAGTACTCAATACAGTTTGAAATGACTTTCATCTTTATTATGATTAATATAGAATTTCATGTTTTTAATTCATTAAAATGCTTGTGTAATCTTTCGAAAGTCCATTTTATGAGATGGAAAGTTATCATCCTTTTACATGATATATATTTTTATGGAAATAAAAATAATTTTTTAACAAGATTGAAATTTGATTAATAAAGGGATTCCTGGTTTTTTATTTATTAAAAAGCATTGGTTATGTTTTTCAAGAGACAGCATAATCTTTTCATCATAATATTTTTGTGGAAATAAAATGTTTTTACAAAAAATTCTAATTTACTGAAAAGGTTCAAGTTTTTTGTTATTCATTAAAAGGCTTTGGTAATAGTCAATATGAGAATCTATCAATGTTTCATAATAAACAATTTCATAAATATAAAGACAAAATGTTTTAACATGATTGCAATATATGATAAGTGAAAAGTTTTCTGTGTTTTAATTCATTAAAAAACTTTGGTAATGCCAAGTCACTTTTTCATAATAAAATTCTTAGGAAAATTAAAAAGTTTTAGTAACATCGTTATGGAAATTTAAAAAAATGTTTTTGTCAGTACCACAATATGATTAATAAAATGTTTCCATTTTTTTTATTCATTAAAAAGCATTGGTAATATATTTCAAAAGGCCATTTCAAGAGATGACAAGTTGTTATTACTACATAATAAATAAAATTGCACTTAAATTATAGTACTAGGCGTATCCTGTCCGTGTTGTTCATCTTAATTATTATTGTTAGATATCATTTGACCTTGAAATGCCTTCCATTTCATATATTGCTGCTTGAGGCTAATTTTTATCATGCTTGTTTTCATACTCAATACAATTATCTAGGATGGAATCAAAAATGTTTTTCCTTCTAAGTATTGATTTCAGTGACAAATTTTCAGCGTTAACAAGATATTAAAAAAAATAAACCTACTTCATTTATCTCTGCAATATCCGCTTCAAAAAATATTGATTGGTTGTATTTGTATCTCCTGAAAATGAAATTTGAATTTGCAAGTAAAATTGGTAGGGTATAAAAAAATTTATGATAAATAATAATTATATAAGATATAAAAAATTTCCTGCAATTTTTGTGATGATAAAACTTCTAAACTTACTTTTTTAGATCAATAACTTAAAATTATTGCTTCCTCTGATCTATCAACTCAGACCCAGCCATGGTGGGTCTGAGGTGATGTGGACTGTCATGCATTCCCTACTGCCAAATCCTGCATCCACCCTAGTGCATAAATGGGAACATTTTAACTTTTACAATCCTGGATTTTTGGAAAAACAAACCTACTATATATCATTCAAAATCAGTCAGCTTAAAACCACAAACCAAAATTCAAATGATTGCAAGTGAAGTTATATTTATTGCTAAGAAAAATGATTGTAATATTTAAAGTTTGAATACAAACCCTGGAGAATCTAGACACTACATCCACCAAACCAGAACTTCATTGCATTATATTAATTTTATCCATATCTGAATTTTATACAGTTAGTATTCGTATATTTTTTATATAATTTCTTTACTGACACTAGTTTTCTGTTTATACCATATTGAGGACACATATACATAAAAATAACATATATATGCAGAGGATCTTTTAATATGTTTTAAGATTTGAGTTTTTATATTTGATTATCATTTTATTTGTTCTCAGATACTTGTCGTAATGCCCTTGGGATGATAACCAAAGAAATTACAGATGAGCAGCTGAGTGCCAGTAGTAGTCATAGCCCCCAACTCGGCCCTCAGTATGGAAGGTAGGTTCCAGGAAAGCCAATTAATACAGGGCCCCAAAGTTTTGGGGGAAGTCACTTCAGTCAAAGTTTCGGAGTATTTTTTGTTTAGCTTGATAATTTTATGTGCCTACCTTGGATGATTATGATTAAAAGTGTTCTCTGTATCAATTGTTTTTATATGTTAAACCCCAGTACGTAAAACGAACGCCATCTACAACGTTATGTGGTGAAGTATCCATAATGCTGCAAATGTCATCACAGCGCAATCCTCAAAACTTTCCAGTACCTATTACTACTCCTGGGTGGGGAGAGACATCATTGATAAAGTGCTCAAGGTTTAAGGCCTGAAACCCTCTACAACTTGCAGGGGCCCGAAGTTGGAAGTCAATTCCGGGAGATCGTCGGTGGGGGTCGAAGGGTAGGGGATTGAGTGGGGTGGGCAGACTTTCACAGATGGAGTGTCTAGACCACATCAGCTTGACCATGGTTAGACCTGAGGCAAGAAAATTTATGATTATAGCACCGGAAATGACCCTCTCAGACTTAAATTTGAATATTTATCCCACTATAGAAGAAAGCAAGTATTTATGTTAGAATTTTACTGATTGTAGTCATTTTTGTTGTTTTTTTTATTTGTATTAAAATTTTGTATTACATTTTACCGATTTTAATTTAAATTATAAAATTCTATGTAATAATTTGGATGAAAATGAAGTTTACCTATGGGGGTAGTTTCAATTTTGCAGTTGAATATTGAAAAGATTAAATTTCATTCAAGTTAATCTACATTTTTTTTAATATAAGACAAATCTCTACAAATTTATTTCATCAAATGGATTGAGGATAAAAGTCAATGACACACTTTAATTGAAAGTTAGATGACAATTTAATAATAGTGCTTATGAATATAAAATGTTTATAAATTATGTTAGTGAGCATTTTTAGCTTTTTTATCCATAGACTATGGTTCATATGGTTAGGATGTGTTGCTGCCTTATTATAGTCAAAGTAGCAGGCAGTGCCACTAGATACCCATTTTGGGTGGAGAGAAGCAATTAATATATTTATCTACTTACCTTGTAAGTACATAAACGAAGTGCACAGTTAGGTATTAAAACTCAGTTAGGAAATCAAACTGTTACCCCTGCACCAGACTGCTTCATTTTGTTATTGTTTTGGATCCAAGTTGGGCTATAAGAGGCCAAGATTTTTTTGTATTATACTTTCTTGGATTAACAAGTTACTACGCAAAATCAAAATATTAAAATTTATATTGAAATTACTATACAATACCTTTACAGATTACACTTAGACGAAGGCGAGGGTGCCTGGTGTATTAAAGATCTACTTACAATTGATCGGTACGAGTATATGCAGGTGGACTTTCGTGACTTAAAGGTGATCACAGGGATTGGCACACAGGGAAGATGGCACAATGGGGACGGTAATCAACATGCACGGTATTTCCGAGTGGAATACAGACGAGACAATGAAACGCAAAACTGGAGACAGTATGTTGGATATCCCACCAAAAGGGTAGGAAGATATTAGAGAGAATGGACTTAGAATCATTAGTTTATCACCTTCGCCCACATTTGTTTTTATAGTATTGAAAAAAAAAACATTTTGAAGAAAAACCCATTTTTTTTTTTCATTTATAGTAAACAGTTAGTATATGCTTGTATTATCTTAATCATGTATTTTTAATCATATTTGGATTTTATAAAACTGAAGCCTCCCACCCTCATCACTTTTCCACGCTAGATAGGATAAGCATTTTTTTTATTGGGCCTAAGTTATTCATTAATTTTGCCTTGTCTTTCTCTAAAGTAATTTTTTTTTTCTATTGTTTTGACCAAACCCTTTTCATTATTATTGAATAGTGACTAATTTTTACATTTTTTCTAGACTTTCAAAGTTCATTTTAATGTTTTGCCTATCCCTCAGCTAAGAATTTCAAATGTTTTTGTATTATACAGGTATTGTGGTAGTAAATAATGGCCTTTCATAAAGAATGATAACATTACTATTAATAAAATGATGCCATCAATATTATGATGTTTTTAGATGATGTCATTATGTTATGATTATGCCATTTACAAGTATGATGGTGTTATTATTTTTGTATCATATCCTTGAGGTATGTGAAATCATATTTTGATAACTTATTTTGACAAATTTTAATTTCTCTGAGTATTGGAATTCTAACACCAATAATTTAACAATTTTTGTAAGGCCAAGTTAATTGTTATTTTAACATCTGGGATTAAAAAAAATTTGGTGAGGTAATTACTATCCTATATACTAGTATTAAATAGGCTGGTAAAAATTGTGTCTTTGTACTGTCTGTCATTTATGTTTGCTAAGTTTTCTTAAGACTTTGACAATAATCATCATTTTTATTTTCCATGGAAAATGTTTTTTTTTTTTTTTAAATAAGTAATAGTAAATGTTTGCATGAGCCTTGAAAATTTGTTGATAATGATAATAATTTTATTTGGCCTAATCTTTATAGATATACTTTCTTCAAATGCTTGGTCTAGATTTATCAATGTCTTTACTCTGATTATTAATTTATTTATTCTTTCATAATTTATATTAATATTGAAAAAATTATTAAGGTTATTGAGTCAAACAAATGTCAAGGAAAATATGATCCCAATAATTAATTGATAGTTACAACTACCCTTGTAAAATGTGAACAAGTTGATTATTAAACCATTTCAAATATAGGTCAGAACAATTAAACAAAACACCGTTGAAGCTGGAATTGACATTTCCATGACTGGATATGGTAATTAGGGATCAAGGTATTGTCCAACAATATGCACGTTCAGACGAGTCAGAAGTTATTTCAACCTTACTACAGACGATTTACTCCTGAGCAGTCTCAGGAGTAAGTGTGCTCGGAGTAGGGCTGTGTAGACACACTTTTACTTCATAGCTCGCAAGTAAATGCGACCTATATTTTGACCTCAATTATTTTCAAAAGATAAATACCTACAAATGAGTGTCAAAATTACATTTCCTGTGATGTGTAAGCCTTTGTAGACACGATGTTTTCATAATTGTTTACAATTTCAAAACAATAACCGTTAAGAGACAGCGAAGTGGTGACTACCACTTCCGCAAAATTTGCATAGTTACTTCTAAGCTTTGAACTAGTTGTCCTGGGTAAACATCGTGTGGACTCTCGTAAAATTTTACGTTTGTCGTAACTTTACTTCAGACGGAAGGTCGTCTTAACATAACTATGTAATATCAGCGCATGAGGCTTCTACAATTTACAATATATTCAATGAGGAGTTTTTATATGTAAATTAATTCAGAGTCCATATTTATGCCTTTTAGAATGAAACATGCAGAGCTTTTCCATTCTGTGATTGGCTGTAAAATATGTTTTATTGATGTATAATTACACATACCATTACATAGAGATGGATTCTTCAAAGAGGTTTAATGGATTTATAATACTCAAATTAAAACATTTGAGAACTAATTAAGGATGAGATGGACATTTATGCTTTATTGCTGATGAGTAACCAAGTTATTTTTAACATTATGGTTAATATGGTAAAGAAGATTAAAATGATGTACGTTGCATGTTGGAAAGGTTATATAAATTATTGTACTGGAAATAGCAAGTGTAGTCTACATGTATGTACAGTTTGTGTATATAATAATAGCAATGATGAAGATGACGATGCCTAAACCATAAAAGCAGCATCAATCTAAAGCAACCCTATTCTGGGTTACTACAAGGCAAAACAAACATTAATAAACGAGATACATTAAGTATATACACCAGTTTGACTAGAAAAACTACCACTATAGGGACAATCAGAGACCTAGGCATTTCGCTTTACGTAGTTACCAGTTTTTATCTGTCCTCTGTGACTGGTGCACGACCTTGTTGTAGAGGCCTAGGCTAGTCTTTGAAAACAAAATCTTACTAATTAATATTATATTGTTTATTTATTGTTAATTAATGGCCTTCATACAGTGGCGTAACGCTGGGGCGGGGGGCCCCTCTGGCTTTCTGAGATTATGGGCCCTGTTTTTGGTATCGCCGATCGCCATTTCCATTGTGGACTTTTAGATTTGCTCGTTTTTAATCATGTTTGTCATTGTGTTTAACGATGAAATAAATGATGTCATATCATCATTGGCGGATCCAGGAATTTGAAATAGAGGGGCCCAGGGAGTCACTTTCACTGATGGAGGGTATATTCCACCTCAGGGCCCTACCATGTTTGGGGCTGATGTAAGAAGATGTATGATTGTAGCACCACTAGATGGCCGGAAATGACACTCACAGACTTGAAATTTGAATATAATTTTCTTTCTAGGCTATGTACAAAAAAAAAAGCTGTTGATCATCCCCTTCCTACTTAAAAATCACCTGACCATTTTTTAAAATTATTTTTGTTGCCAAAACTCACGAAAATATCATCTTTCTGCTCATAATTAAACTTCGGCTAGGCCTATGCTTTTTTTTTTTGGTACTATAAATATTTTTCCTTTCAATAATTTGTTCTTATAAATGCCAGCTGATCAAACGCTCAGCCACCATTTACATGAGGCCTTGCACTCCATGGGGATTCAAAAACTTGGCATGTATCAGTGGGTTGGTTTATTACTGATTAAAAAAAAAAACCTCCTTCTCTACTGATTGGCGATCAACAACTCTTTTTTTAACATGGCTGATCTCCATTTTTTTTGCCGAACTTGGGGTAGTTGTGCAGCGCTCATTTTAATCCGCCACTGAATATATTATGGTATGTCCTACAGTCGATGTCAGAGACATAATATGCTGTTACATCAAGAAGGTCCTTTTGGGTCAGGGTGCTAGATCGAGGACCGTATGAGTATGGGCCCTCCGCATGAGAGAGCGCATAGGTGTTACGCCACTGCCTTCATAATAATATTAACAATGTATAGAACTTGCTCCATCTATCTAAGCTCTTCTTTAAGACAAAAAAACTGTTGCCCATATATATTCATGATGTGCCTATATAATTATGGTAATAATGTGATGTCATCGTGACCATATTTAGACATGTCACATGTTTTTTTCATATCAAATATTATAGTCTCGACAAGTCTTATAAGGCGCAGCATACTGTGATATATTGTTTTAGCGCCTCTTACATTTTGTCTGCATATTTGTGTTCTGTGCCAGTTTGTTGATGTTTAAGTTTTGCCTTAAAATATAATTTGATTGCTAACACCTGCCATGTGTATATGTTGTGATATTTTCAATGTTTTCAACAAAGCAAGCAATACCGGTAAATAAAGTAATGTACAAATAATTTTTTTCTAGGCATATGAAAGCAATAGCAATGGATACCAAGCCAAAATAAGTCACTTGTCCCCACCCCTTGTCGCATATCAACTTCGAATGGTCCCTATTGCTGAGTCACCACGCCAAGTGTGTATGAGGGTGGAATTCTATGGTTGCTCATTTGAAGGTAAACGAAAGCCTGTTCTGGCAGTGGAATGACTAGAAAGGGCACCCTCTAAAAATATGCTTTTGTACAAAAAAAAATATGCACTGTACTATTATAGTAATGTTATAACATATTATATCTATTCTACATTGTGCTGTATGTGTGATTTGCAATTTCCTCGTTACATACAAATGGTTCTTTAATTTGGAAATCTTGTTCCAATTATGCCTAAATTAAATATATAAAATCACATTGCTATCTTGTAATTTGTTACAAATTGTGGTTTCATGTATGACTTGTTAGAGGAATCTGAAATTTAATGATGCAAACATTTTGTGACATATATAATGTGATATAATATCTATTGTCAATTATTTACAGATAACCTGGTATCATATCAGATGTACCAAGGCGAATATAAAGGTACATACAGCCTACGAGATGAATCTTACGATGGAATTAACACTAATGAGTATGTTCACAATGGGCTTGGCCAGTTAACTGACAGCATGTTGGGGGCCAATGACTTTCGACTCAGCCCCACCAACTATCCCCCGGCCTATGAATGGGTGGGCTGGAAAAATACAACCAATTTGGACCCAGAGATTATTTTTCAGTTTGGGACTATAAGAAATTTTTCAGAGGCCAGTTTCCATTTCAATAATTTCTATACCGAAGGTGTGAGCATTCCTACCAAGGTGAGGATCTATTTTGGTGTGGACGATGGTTATTATTACACACGTGATCTAGTAGAGGAGATTCCTGTTGATTTTGAGCACACTGACAAACGATGGATTACCATCAATTTACAGCACCGGATTGGTCGGTTTCTAAAGTGTAAGTTTTACCACGGCAACAGATGGCTGCTTCTTGATGAGGTATCTTTCATATCAGGTAGGTAAGGGTTTCTTTTCGCTTTGCATTTTGCAGTGAACATTTGGAAACACGAACCCTAAGGCTCGTTAAGAAGCGTGGAAAAAAATGTCTACTGTTACACATATTAATTGCTTTATCATCGCATTGGGAAGCAAAGAACTTTTTGAGTGTTCTACCGGGGAAAGTCAACAAAGGCAATTTTCAAATCCAATTTAAACGTGAGGAATATATTGATAGAGATGTCGGTATATTGACTCATAGTCACGTATCCATTTCCCAAAGTGGAAATCAAGATCTCATACGGATATCACCTCCGATCCCCAGATCACATGACCAGTGAAGCACTGGAGTATTAAATTACTACCATTACTTTCCAACGTTTGATATCGTTGTATTCATATCTTAATTCATTAAAATACTGTATATTGAAATTTACATACATAAACTTAGGGAAACAATGGAACACAACCATTTTCCTAAAGTAAATGTCAAGATCACATGGATCGATCACCTCCAATCCCAAGATCACATGACCAGTAAAAGAACTGAAGTAAATTTCTATAAATTCATGTAATAAAATTAAACATGTAAAATGCAAATTACAACAAAAGCACAATAGATAGATATATAATTTTAATATTGGACATATAAGAAGTTATATAAAACATTCTTAATATTGCGGTGAAAAAATGATTTTAGCATTTCAAATGTATACAATGTTATAGCTAATGGTTAACAGATCATGACAATAAAAAAAAATGGACAGAAGCAACATAGATTCTAACCTAGGGAATCTTCAATTTATTATGATACCAGATTAGCAATATTCTTCCATTAAGACAATATTACATGTTTTACCCATTATGTTCATTATTCCAATCATCATTATTTTTAATATAAATTTAAAATTGTTTTATCTTGTAAGATGTGTATACACTATGGACAAGTACATTAATAATTCTTGAGATGAGTGTTGTGTAATTCACTAATCATTTTTTTTTGTCACTTTTTTCTGCATGTTTTTTTTTATGGCTAAATTCTTGTGTACCACAGAGGAGTTTACCGGACCGATGCAAACAACCATCTTACCGTCACCCACTGCTCCCTCAAAGTCCACGATAGGTGACGGACAAATCGGTGATGAATCTACTTCTTCTTTCAAGACATTTTCACCCAAAATTCCAAATAATTTTACTAATAATCTTTCATTTTGTCATCAGCTTTGTTGGTTTTTTATGTTCATGCTAATTGCACTTTACTGCTTATTATTTGTTATTACTCTCTCTGCTTCATACAAAACAAATGTGAAGTTATTATACGATTACATAGTAAAAGCGAATGTAGAAATTTCAAAAGGGAAACAATTTGAAAAGAGTCTCCATTAGGCAAGACTTTTTTTATACATTGTTTTGTAAACTTGATGCCTGGCAATATTGACAATTTCAAATTTAAAAAAAATATATATTTTTGGCTTGGTGGTGCACCTGCCACTGAGAAGAAATAATGACGAATAAGCAAATTTCTAGTTTGAACTGCACAGATTAAACTAGATTAAACAGAATTGACCTTTTGTGTTTTTCATTTATATTTTGATATTTATAAATGAAAATAACAATTTTCCATTTTAATGTAAAGTTTTATTGTATTAAATTTCTTTATTAATATAAATTTTTATAATGATGACAATAATTATTTTCCATTTTAATGTAACTTTTTTTATATATTTTATTTCCACCCTCTGGTAATTGTAACATGCAATTTGGCCACTGGCCACAATCTGTTACAAATGAGGAATTTGAATTTTAAATACACATGCTTGTATCAAGGTCAGTCAATATAAACATACACACAATGCAAGCTTCGATTTATGTCGATTGACCTTCGACATAGGCATGCGCAGTTCCAACTACAAATTGGCTTATTCACATGAAATAAGCTATCGCCATGAAGTCTATCTTTATATTTCAACATCGCAATTTTTACATCCGTGTGACAGGATCTTGAGCCAGGGCATGAGGGCACCCTTTTTTACTTCTTACCTCACAAACTTACATTTATTAATTCTCTATTAAATTTTATTTTAATTATTCATCTGCTCAGATGCTTTTGGCAAGATTGTTTTGCTAAAATGAAAAAAAAAACAAAATTTAACTTTTGTTTCTTCTAGCCCTTCTGACAATCTGTAGAAATAATAGTTTGCTAAAAAAAGGTATAATTGTATAAAGTCTTGCCTTAATATGATATTAATTGTCGGCCAGTATTCTCAAATATTTTTTTAGAACTAAACCAATCCAAGGTATTTCACACTTGTATCTGACCAAAGAGAGAGAGCATAGCAAATGATGTATAAAGCAAATGGAAATGCACACTTTTACTGAAATTACTGTTGTTTTTTTTTTTTCTGGGCTAATTCAAAGAGAACTGACAGTTAAAATGCAATTTTACCCATCAAAACCAATCCATGGACTTCCTTTTGCTAAGCCCAGACTTAATCCTGCCATGAACTTCCAATTGCTAAACCTAGCCCTAGTCCTATAACATGAACTTCCTTATTGCTAAGCCTAGTCCATAATCTGTCCCCACAACACAAACTTCAACATGAACTTCCTTATTGCTAAGCCTAGTCCATAACCTGTCCCCACAACACAAACTTCCGTTAATACTAAGCCTTACCCCAGGCAGATAATGAGTCTTTGAAGAGGCATGTTTAAACTTATACAAACAAATGTATTGAGCTAAACCACTCAGAATAGCATTGTTTCTGAGAATATGAAATATTGTTACTGATTACAATTTTACAGATGATGACAGTTAATAAAAACACGCTCCTGTATCAAATTAAAAAAAAAAAAAAAAATACAATTTTAAAATAAATTTCAATATTAAAATTGCCTGTTATATATTTTTTAGTAAGTTATAGCTCTAAATTTAAATTCTATATAATATAAATAATTTAAAATTTAAATATATTTAAAATCTGAAACTTTTTAGATATAAAATAATTTTTTTCTCAGTACACAATTAAGAATGCATAAATACTGCTTTTTGTTTTATTATCCTTTTTATGTTAATATCAGATTAATTAAAGGATTTTATTTTTGTAGTAAAATTGTATCAATGGAATTGTTTTGATGCGTGTGTGGAATTTTTTTAACTTGACCTTTTAAATGAGCAATTTGATATTTTCAATTGTTTTTTAGTTTTTTTTAAATAAAAAAGATATTTTATATAAATATCCTTATTGGTTTGTTGCCTTGCAATTGTATGTAGTTCTCTTTGAATATGCAATTCCTAACCTGAAACCATTCTAATTTTCAACTCTCGATTTCATTTTAGGGCAGCAATTTTCTCTTTAATTTATTTACCTACTCCTCCTGTATCATGATCTTCATCTGTTGCATTATATTTCATCGTCATGTTTTTAAACCATTTGCATCAAAAGGCACAACCTACTGTAACCTCTCACCTTTGACACCATAGATTTTGACTGCTGTGAAGTGCATCCTGGGTAATTTCCACCAAGCAAATGCACCGCATCACCCACGTCACCCTGCTATAATCTATCCTACCATCAATACTCTTTTCTTTTCAAATAGAGAAATATTACCAAGGAAATATTGCACTTTATATTTTATATTGAAAAATGTTATATTATTCATTATGCCAAGGTGTTGCTTTAATAGTGCAATAATCTTTTTCAATATTATTTCACAAAATGTACAACTAACACTTATGTATTTCAGCTTTGTGTTTTCTTTAACTATTTGCATGGTATATATA